GAGCACTGCGTTGCTCACTCTTCACAGCCTTGGGAGAAGTTCTCCCCTCTGCCTGCACTGGGTCTGGACTCTGAGCCTCAGTCGCAGGTTCAACCTCTTCCTCTCCTTCATCAGCAGAGTCTAGCAGACTCTCTGACAGGATGTCAGGGTTCCCATGTATCCTTGCCCAGCCACTCTGCTCACAGAATTCAGCACTGTTGCTGAGCAGAATCCTGGACTGATTCCCTGACGGATAAGCAAACCTCCACCCCTTGGTCCCTGGCTCATACCCACAAAAAATCATCTTCTGGGACTTGGGTTCACCTTTCTTGCGTTTGGCTTTTGGTATGGGGACCCAAGCCTCACAGCCAAAAACGCGGAAGTAGTGCACTTTCGGTTTCTCGCCATGGAGCAAGAAGTACGGGGTGTCACCTACCACTGAATTGAACGACCTGTTCAGAACAAAGTTGGCCGTTCGCCAAGCCTCCCCCCAAAAGCGCTGTGGGAGCCCGGCATCAAACCAAAGAGCCGCGGACCTCTCCCTAGAGTCCTATTCCTGCGTTCCGCAATCCCATTCTGTTGGGGACTGTGTGGAGAAGTCAACCTGTGTTGAATCCCTTTTGCGGAAGAAACTTTGCAGTGCAGACCCGGTGAACTCCCCACCGCGATCGCTCTGAAAGTTTTGCACCCGTGTGGAAAACTGCAGTTCCACAGCCGCAATCCAGTCTTTGATTAGCGGCGCAGCTTCATCTTTGCGCCGAATCGTGAAACACCAAGAATTCCTAGTATGGTCATCAATCAGAACCAGCGAAAATTTGGCTCCGCCCAAACTGCTCACAGAAAACGGACCACACAAATCTGCATGAATTAATTGAAAAGCCCTAGTGGTCACCCTCTCAGACCTAGGGTATGTGCACGTTTTCACCTTTGCGGACTTGCACGCTCTGCAATCTAGAAACTTAGCACATGGTTTCATTTTGCACCCTTGCGTATACTCTGGGATCCTTCTCACCGACCCCCACGACACGTGTGCCATACGTCTGTGCCAGAGATGTTGACACGCATCATGAACTGGAACATTGGCACACTGCGCTTGAGCCTCCTCCATGTCATCCGTGTCATCTGGACCTGCAAAAGAAGCATTTATCACAAACAACCTGTCTTTACATTCAACACTGACTAGGTGCTGTCCATTCTTGGAAATAGAACACTTATTGTTCTCAAAACACACTCTGTAGTTTTCAGCAAGAAGTGCACTGACAGACAGCAACGCGCAGGACAGTCCTGGAACAACAAAAGCCTGGATTGAGTCCTGCACAAAAGAACAAACCAGTGAGCCACTCTGCGTGAGTGGGTGTCGAGTCCCATCTGCTAAACAGACAGTCTTCCCAGATTTTACAGAGGTGCAGTTCTCCAGGAATCCACCAGATGGCACGAGATGATGAGATGCTCCTGAGTCGACCACAAAAGCCAGCTCTGCATCCTGTTGACAACTCTTGACTACAGCCATAGAGGCAGCCAAATGTTTACGTTCAGTGTCTCTGCCAGCTGCCTTCGGCTTGCCTTTCCCACGCTTTGAAGACGAGCTCTTTATCTGGTTGCTACGGGAGACGGCCTTGGGCTGTTCCTCCACTGGACATTCTCTCACCAGATGGGAGGGGGAGCCACAGCGATAACAGCGGCGACGCGTAGCAACAGCTCTCACAGCTCCTTCTTCAGCCATTCCTTTGTTCCCTGCACCCCCACCTTTGGGTGCACAGCCTGGGCCTGCACGCTCCCCAGCACTCTGGTTGTAGGCCTCAACATCACACGGCCCCTCGGAGACAAAGCAGCTACTCCCAGCTGTAACTTTAGGAACATGGCCAGCAGCCCCCCTCTGGGCTCTCAGCTTCCTCCCTGCTCTCGGCTTTCTCCCGGCCCTGGGCTCCTGCTGAGTTCTCACACAGACTCCTCAGCACCTGCCAGGCGGCCTGAGCCGACTCAATGCCCTCCAGGTGGGGCAACAGCATAGCGTCCACGCTTGCTCTCAACATGCAGAGCTCCCTTTGCATTCTCAGCTCTCTATCTTCCAGGAGAGCAGCCTCCCATTCTGCTCCTCCTTCTTCAGCAGCAACTGGCATGGGTGGGGCGGGCTCCTTCTGGGCTATATCCCAGAACCCTGTGGCCAAAAACCACCCCTTGTCTCTTCTAACCCAGATATCCCAGGACTGGGTTGTGAGCTTTTCAAACGGGACATCATAAAAGTCCTGGAGCTCAGCCATCTCCTCCCCCAGTGCTCCCATCGGGGCTTTTGAAGTACTCACGCGTACCAGCCAGCTTCAAAGGAGAGGCCTCCAGTGGCTCCTTGCAGCACACAGCTTGCATCCAGCTTTGCAGCCAGCTTCCCTGCCTTTTTCCAGGCGAAGCCTCAAAGCAGGACTATTGCATTCCGGCAGCAAAACAACAGCTTCTCAGTTTCTCAGCCTTCTTAAGCACACAGCACATCAAAGCAGGCTTCCTCTAATTGCAATAACTGCCCCCATAACCTCTAGGATATATTGATTTATTGCTCAGATAAGCGTCCGGCACGCTTCCCCCATCACGGGCCTCTGCATTCCAATGATCCGACATCTGAGCATAGCAGAGTTCGTCAGCGGCTAGAGGAAACCAAAACACTCCAGTGCATTCTTCAGTGTGCTTAAATAAACTCCACACAGGATCTTAGCAGCTAAAAGCAGCTTTATTTACAGCAGGCTATCCATTATCTATCACAGCGAACAGCATCGCGAAAACACGTCCTCTCTCCTCAAAAGCGAAAGTAGAGAGACAGAACAAAGGCTTGAGTCTCTCGGAACTGACGTAGCATTTCCCCCCTCCTCTCCACAGTGGGCAGAGCGTACACTCTGAGCTGTTTAACCCTGTAAGCTCAGGTTTTCCTCACAAATATTGCCCCCATTATTTTAATATGAATAATAAATCACAACTATCATTTATTTAGAGTAAGTTAAAGTGGTCAACATGTCTTGGCTGAGTTTTATTGTGCATAAGTGTATTTACCAATGATCCAAGCTGTGTCAAACAGATTTCATTTCCCCATAAAAAGCAAAAGGAGCGCAAAAATAAATTATATGCGTGATTTCTCCCTCCCCCTACTGGCACTGTTAAATCTAATATTGACTTTTTAAAAGTGGTTTATCTAGCAGGTTGGGTGGTGGTAGTGTCTAATGCACCTAAGCTGGACAAGGACAGGGTTTAGAGCAATTCCTCTTGTGTTATTGTTAAGCTTTTAAATTACAATCCTACAAAATAACCTATCTCAAGAAAACACAAAAAGGGAACAGCGGGGTTGAACTGCTAGCATTAGCACTGCCCCCTTTCCTCCCCATCCCCATGCCCCTCCAACTTGTGGAAGGTTTACCACACATTGTAGAATAGGCATGTGTACCAACCGCACAATTTAGTTTCGAACTCTGATTTAACACTTCAGAAAACAGTTTAATTTGGTCCTAAGTACTTTGGAGAATGTCTAATGCACACATACATACATAATTTTTATTTGTATGCTGTCTTTCCACAGTTTAAACCATGCTCAAAATGGCTTAACAACATGAAAAAATACATAACTGCAACATAACAAAATTAGTCTTCAACAATAAATAGAACATTAAAAAATACACAATCAAAACGAACCATTTCACATACTCACAAGATCTAAAATAAAGATATAAAAAATCAGCAGCAACAAACCCTCCAAAAAACCCACCAGTCCAAGATTCTGTTCAGCAGCCTCCCAGGCCACTTCAAAAAAGGACTGCAAGGCCAGGAGCAGGTCTTCCAAGACTCACAGCCAAGATGGTCTTTGGCTTCTTCAATGTCCTGCTCCCCTAGGTTCTTCTGGGAGGAGAGGTAGTGCACAAATTGAATGAATGAATGAATGAATGAATGAATGAATGAAATAGTGTCTGATACCACATCCCAGTTCAGAAAGGCAAAACTTAGTGCCTCTCCTATTCATGGGGAAATGCAAAGCAAAGCAAAAATGCAGTTGTAGCTATTTTTTTCTTTTATTGCAAAAGCACATGAAATTTGCAGGCTTGCTAACCCCTTCTAAGATGATAAGTTCTGCCCAATTTTAGAAGGATAGATGCAGTGATTTTCCTGCAAGGTAGGCTTTACAGTTTGGGTGTGGTTACAAAAAGGGATCTCCACTATTGTTTTGTGAGCAATTCATGTGAAAATATTATATATATGAGAGGAAACACTACATAAGAAACCTGCAAAATTTCAGAAGGATGAATGCAAAAGGTTTTTAAATGCTAGGTGCATTAGTTTATCTGTTGGAGAGAGAGAGAAAACCTTGGGGGGGAGAGAATTAAAATATATTTACTTCCATTCCTCTGGTTTTGATTTCTGGGAACCATCATGAAGAGAAAAGGTTGCAGCAGCAGTTACAAACTGTGTGATAATGGCAGTCCTGGGTCTAGTGGATGGGCAAGAGGGGGTACATGCCCTGGGTGGCAGGTTAGAGGGGCAACAAACAATGTTCCCCACCCAACACCACCAAAAAAGTCTTCCTCTCCTTCATATTCCCTAACACTGCAAGACGGAAGCCTCTGCAGCGTTCCTTTTTTGAGAGGTGTGGGATGCATGAATCTCTAGGCTTCCTCCTCTTCCTCTTCCTCCTGGTGGTGGCTGTAGTAGTGGTGGTGGAATTAAGAGAAGACAGTCCTTACCTCCCCTTCACCATCTATTCACCACTGGTGGAGCTGCTACCTGGGCCATGGAGCCTTGCCACAGCAGATAGCTCTTGCGGGCCAAATGGAGTTGGCTGGCTGCCTAAAATGGGATTTGCTGAAAGCACATCGAGTTCACTGCAAAGGTGACCTGGAGGAGGGAAAAGAGAGAGGAGGTGCTTACGCAAACCAGAGAACCGCCTTCTTCTTCTACCTTGTCCGGTTGGTAGGCTCTCCCAAACAAGAAACAGTCTCCAACAGTTTTATTACTTCAGATTTATTCAGCAATTAACGGCTCAGCAGTCAGAGCTTCATTAACTCATTCGTCACTTTCGGGTTCAGTTGCCGGATCTAGCCAAGGGCGTACAAAGGGGGGCTGGTATGCCCCGGGTGCCACCTGGGGGGGGGTTGACAAAATGGCCCTCTGCCTCCCCCCCAACTGTTGAGTGGTCGAGGGATCTAGCCTCTTTTTTCCGGTGGAACCAAGGCACTCTCCACCTCTTCTTCCTCCCCTTTCCTATCATGCGCTTTTCCTCTAAGCAGCTCAAACTTCGGGTTTTGGAAGACCCTTTTTCTATTAGCCCTTCCCCCTCCTCTTCTACATCCTGTTCTCTCTTACTTTCAGAATCGCCAGGCTGCATTCCTGAGCGAGATAAGTTTACCTCACTTTCACTGTGTAAAGGAGTCAGATTCCTACTAATTTCTGGTTCTCCCCCCTCTCCTTCGGATTCTGCTCCGTCTGTCAGAAAGGGAACATCTCTGACATACTTGGTGTGTGTGTGTGTGGCAGGGGAGAGAGACTGACTAGCTGGTCTGCACATGGCCACGGGGTGCACTGCACCATTCCCACCTCCTCAGGGGGCACTGGGAAGGCAGGAGAGGAAAAGGAATTTTGTTATTATTCATTGAACTGGGAGGCAGCTAAGCCTTGAGTCTTGTGGATGACTTCTTCACTCACAGTTGTTGCCTCCTTCCTTCTCTCTCTCTCTCCCTTGTTCCCTAGCACACCCACTAGAGAATGTAAGTCCCCGGAGGTGCAGCAGGGGATTTCTGTGTATTTTTCTTAGTCCTTCACAATGTACATCAATCAAGAAGGTGAGAAATATTTCCTTTCCTTTGCACACACTCCTGCACTGTCGGGGGGGCACAAACATGCATCAGAGGGGGGCACTGGACGGTGGCTAAAGATGTGGCCCCTATAGTCTCTGTATCGGAAGATCCGCTCGGCCAAGCTGATAAAGCTCATTTTTCCCCCCAAGCTTCAGAATTGCCTCCCGAGGTGTTTAACGACCTCGAGCCTTTGATGAGGCTCCAAGGCACATTTTTATCCAGCAGAGTTCCCAGCACAGGGAAGAGACGAGAGGTCTGGGCTGCATTGTAAAGAGTTTTATTTCTAAGCTACGCAGACAGAAAAGACATCCTCTCTCTATGAAAGCATAGAGCAGCGGAACAAAGGAACAAAGGAAACAGGAAACCACTAACGTCACATCCCGTCTCCCGACTCCCGTGAGACTTCCAATATTATGGAATTCCAGGAATGTAAACAGAGTTCTGTGACTCCAAGCAGCTGCACAGTGATAAGAACAGAAACTAACACTCTGCTCCTGTTGTTCCTTCATAGCTGTAACACCTGTAAAGGACTCCTGTCCCTTAGTCTTGATCTGGCAACAGGATGACTCCCATTTAGTTTCTTCTAGAACCAGAAATTCTTAATCTGGATGGAGCCACCACTAGGCCAGCAACTCTAGCTTGAGTTTGGGCTTCTAAAATTTGCTGAAGATCCTGAGAATGAAATGAAACACCTGTGCAAGATTTCTTATTCAACGTAGGCTTTAAATGTTCCTAGGTTTCACACACTCGCTTCCCACCCGGCTCTTTTCAGCAGCTTCAGTTGTGGTGGGCAGAAAGATATGCCCTTTTTACCTTTACTCAGATGAGAGCACAAAGAATCAATTTATCCCAGAATCCTCTAGGCCTTTTGGAATCATTCCCAGCCTACTCTGGAATGAGATTATAGCAAGTCGTCTCTGGAGGTGTTGGAGCTAAAACTGTGGTTAGTCAGAGGAAACATGCTGTTCCAACTAGACTATTTTTGAAGAGGGGGAAAAAAATAGAAACCACAGTGAGAAACTGTTAAAACAAGAGCTGTGCTTTTTAAAAAAGGACTGTCAGGTTTATTTGTCACGCAAATATATATTAAATATAGACTCCAGACTATCATATAGTACATTGGAAATAAGGAAATTGATTCAAGCTGCTCTGCTTGTTCCCTGTGGTAGATACTGTTCAATATCCACTTACAAGTGTTAAATTTCACCCTGGGTGGGATGCCAGATGAATTTATAGTCTATATAAACCAAAACGTACATTTAATAGAAAAGTCCAGGTCAACATATCGACATTTCAGAAACATTATGAAGATGCAGACTGCTTGCCGTTGTGTTTGCAAATGAAAAAAAAAAAATCCTGAGATTAAGTACTGTTGTGAATATATCTCTCATTTAAATTTGATTAGGGAGACTGTTGTGGAAGGCTGTTTTTAAAATTACTGACCCTGGAATGACACTTACAGTTATTTGCTCAGTTTCAGATGTTAACCTGATGTTCAACTGAAGCTGACAGCTGTGTGCAGTCTTATTGATTTCCAGTTTGATCTTCCATTCCAGGCGGTCCACTGGCATGCTAAGGAAATGAGTGGGAACTACCAGCTAGAATAACTTTGTTCAGAGACATCCCTATGAATTGTAAACAGGTTTGCGGGGTTTTTTGGTCTCTTCTTCAGCATGACAGAGAGATAAATGTGTACTAATTGTTGTGTAATAATAGTACCATACTGCACAATAGCTATAACCAGGTTTTTTTCCCCCAGCTGGAACTCAGTTCCAGCACCTCTCAGGTGGGCTCCATTGTCATTATAAGACAACAAGAGAAATGATCTTGGTGAGTTTCAGCACATCTTTTTCTAGAAAAATAGCACTGGCTATAACACATATTTATTAAACCCCCACCACAACCCAATAGATGTTGTCAACTAAATCTATTCAGGCCTCAGGTGCAAAATGGTTTGAGAAGTTTACTTCTGGATGACTACTCTCTATGTTATCCTAGAGGGAGGCCAAAAATAAAATAAAAAGGATATGCAGATCTCCCATTTTTCAGATATTGCAAAGATGGTTTGTCCTTGCCTATTATCCCATTGATGCAGATAAATGTTATCCCATCAACACAGATTGATGGGCCTTCAAGCCTATCTCAAGGCTGCCTGCCCAGCAATGGACCAAATTGTTGACAAGCTGCCTCAGATCCCTCATGCAAATGAGAACCTAGATAAATAGCTAATAACTGATCTAAGCTGTTGGTTGAACACTTAAATCCACTAGGCTGGGTAACTTCCTTTAATGATGTGAGGTGTGGGATAACTGTTTTGCCACCCATCCTGAGAAGGCAATAGTAGCATGAAGATTGACATAATTTACAACTCTGGAGAGGCATGCCACGCAACTGTCCCATTTTAAATGGAACATTCCAGATTGATAGAAGCTGCCCTGGTTTCTGATCTTAATCTCAGATGTCCCATTTTGGCTCCCATACTCTGGCTGTACCAAAAGACAGACGTTTTCTTTTCTGCCCTGCTCTGTGGTTTGAGTCAGTTGGCTCACACCAGAGTGCGTCATCACAATTCTTCCTCCTTCCGTCGCAGCTTCCAGAATATTTATTCATTTATCTATTTATTTTGGGCACCAGAGGATGTGGTAGAGGCCGAACAGGGTGGCACAGCTTCTCCTAAGATGGTGGAGGAGGAGGAGGCCATGGGTGAATGTACAAGTGGGGCAGGGAGTGGGGAGATGAAAGTGGAAGTGAACAAGCAAGGGGGAGAGAGAGGGATATGGTAGTGGCAAGGGGGCAAGGGAGCAGGCGAACAAGGGGGACAGTGGGATAGTGGGGGGGTGCCTCAATTTGCCCTCCCAAAATGTTGGGGGATATGGAGATGAGGTGTTCATTAGGGACAAGTAGATGCAAGGTTAATCAGACTTGAAGCCACTAGTCAGGAGATGAAAGGATCCCAGCCACATTACCTTATTACACGAACCATTCTTGTCTTTGCAAAAGCATTTCTGTTGCAGTTGTTTAACCTGTCAACCATTCAGAAATTCTTGTGGGACTGTGGCAGGCGATGTGGATGGATATCCTGTCAAGTAAACTTGTGTAACTGCCTGGGAAGAAACCTATTTATAGGAAGTCTTTTTCAGAAGTGAAACTGGGTTGCAGCAGTCCAGAAAAATACACCTGGGTGTCACACTGAACACAGCTTGTTGAATCCGTCCCCAATATTTCACCCAGTCCAGCAGCAATGAGCAAGACATCTTGGGAAACAGAAGAAGAGATGAATATATTCCCAAATCTGCTTGTATATTAGATTATGATTGGGGGAACACCCTGAGGAATGTTGTAATTTGCATAGAAAATTTCTGATGCCATTTTTTGCATGATCTCCTGCCCTCTCAAAGGGTTATCATGGATATATTTCAGAAGTGAATGAGCATCTGGGGTTTGGTCAGAGATAATGGGCATAATCCTGACAGGCACATATGAATCCATTGATAATATTGAAAATCACCTCAGCTAAAATCAACGGAGATTGCAATGGGCTGACTTTGGCAAGGTAAAGTTGACAGGCCTCTTCAGCAGTTTATACCTGTAAGATGAGCCAGTTGTTGTTGTTTTTAGTGGTCTTTTATCTCTTAAATCATTTTTGTTGTACATGGTTGCAGAACCAGGCATTGGGTTCCCATACCCCAACTCATGAAAATTAGAGACCAGTGAGGCTGGTTTTTGGGGGTCAAAACAGGCCACAACTTTATTGAATACAGATGAAAGAGGTTTGGCTTGGGCATGGAGCAATCAAAATACTTCCGGCCCGCCCACTGGAACTGATGTATGGTCAATCCAGACCGGGGTTCCTAAGACTTACATCCAATAGGGTGACCCCCGCAGGGAACACCATCTGGGAGAGTGCCTTCAGCTTTGGCCCTCACTGGGCATGGACAAGGCCACTCCCCCCAGATCCCTTTAATGGGACACCCCAGCGTTTGGAGGGGCAGGAGGGGACCACTTCCTCCCCTCTATCCAAAACAATGGATTGCCCCAATGCCCAACCCCAGTTGTGATGATTGCTATGAGGTAGGCAAAACCACTGGGTCAGTGCCAATTAGCCCGGTGGGCAAATTCCTACATGGCCCCTTAAAGAACGGCAACCACCGTAGCCACAGCAAAGTCATTGACTATCAGCTTAAACTGAGGGTGGGTGGGCAGGGGAAAAACCCAGCGAAGGAACAAACAGGTAGTGCCCCAGGTGTGGGCTGCTTAAATGGGCAAGGGCCAAATCCTAGGGAAGCCTACTTGATCCATCTGCTCCACCCCCTGGCACAAGCCAAGTCCCCAGCCTGCATCCCCATTAGCCAAAGCCGGGTGCAGGCTAGGATCCAATTCCTGATAGGCGGAGGGGGCTTAAGCCCCGCCCCATCAAGAAGTGCACCACTGTTCCAGTTCCCTCGTCGGGGCCATAGGGAAGTCTCTGCCATCCTGCAACGCTGCGACACCAAGAGGGGTGAGCAGACTTGTGGGGCAGTATAAGTATTTTTAAAGGAGGAGAAGGAGAAGAATGTCATTGGCTAGGAAAACAATTCTCATGAACATCTGTCACTGGGAATTCAATTCCGCAATAACTAAAATATTTTCTCCATAAATTGAAAAGTCAAAAGTCAAAGAAAGAAGCTTGAGAGATTTGTCTGCCACAGCAACCCCTAACATCAATCCACATAATGTTTTACACAGATGTCATTTAAAATTAAATTTCAGTAGGAAATTCCATTGTGTTATAAATGATACGAAACCTTGTCACTTTGTCCAGGCTCTTTGAGTTTGTATAGAATTTTGAACCCTTATCTACTGCTGAGCCCTGAGATAAATCATTTTTACTTACACTGAAATGAAAGAGGGGCCAGTCAGGAACTGATAGTCATCTAATTAGCCAGAGTTTCTTTCTGTTCCTTTCAACTTGGTTTAGCCTGTAATTAACACCTTCACCATATTAATAATAGGTTTGATCTGAACTTCCAGGTTTGAAGTTCAGATCAAAATGTGACATTTTAGTTAAAAAGAATGACTCCCCCCCCCCCCGTTGTTGAAAAAGTCACCATATTTCAAAAATGTACCCTATCTAAAACTTTTTTATTCTTTTTATAAAATATAATTCTACTTTGTAGGCTCTATGTGCATTGGTTTCCTCCTTGATTCAGAACCCTGCATTATCAATGCTCTAAACCACAGAGGAAGCCTATCTGCAAGGTCTGTCTTCTCCCTGTCAATATGTGGGGGGCGGGGGGGTGGATCTGGCAGAGATGCCTCAGTGGGGTGAGAGCTAGAAGGTACAACTGTGCCCTCAGGTGAAGGTGAATGTTTTCAGGTGAGGGGGGCAGAGAGAAACATGCATGCTTCTTGTCATTCTACTTCACTAAAACAAAAACAAAAAACATGACACTAACATGGGGGTATAGATACACTGTTGTTGTTTAGTCGTTTAGTCGTGTCCGGCTTTTCGTGACCCCATGGACCAGAGCACGCCAGGCACTCCTGTCTTCCACTGCCTCCTGAAGCTTGATCAAACTCATGTTGGTAGCTTTGAGAACACTGTCCAACTATCTCATCCTCTGTCGTCCCCTTCTCCTTGTGCCTTCAATCTTTCCCAACATTAGGGTCTTTTCCAGGGAGTCTTCTCTTCTCATGAGGTGGCCAAAGTATTGGAGCCTCAGCTTCAGGATCTGTCCTTCCAGTGAGCACTCAGGACTGATTTCCTTCAGAATGGATAGGTTTGATCTTCTTGCAGTCCATGGGACTCTCAAGAGTCTTCTCCAGCACCATAATTCAAAAGCATCAATTCTTCAGCGATCAGCCTGCTTTATGGCCCAGCTCTCACTTCCATACATCACTACTGGGAAAACCATAGCTTTAACTATACGGACCTAATAATGTGCAAATAACTGTAAAGAGGAGCAGGCCATATTGAACCTAGTGGGTCTCCTCTGGGGATGAATTCTGCCCATTTGTGGGGTAATTTGTGACCCACTGTACTGTATATGACAACTTCTTCTTCTTCTTCTTCTTCTTCTTCTTCTTCTTCTTCTTCTTCCTCTTCTTCTTCGTCTTCGTCTTCTTCTTCTTCGTCGTCTTCTTCTTAGTGTTCCAACATGGTGTTATTTCTTGTATCAAATATTCTGGTCAAGCAACTTGTACCAGGTTAGAAACCTCAAGCAACATCACCCTTGCTTGTAGCTGATTAGGGAAATGCTACTATTCTAATCTCAGTTTATTTTTATTTCACTGCCCTACTTATAGGTAGTATTCAACGATAAATTATATTTTCCGCAGGGAGAGAGAGGTTTGGGAA